AGTCATTAACACTAACATGTTTGCAAACAATTGCAGAGTTTGCTTTTCTCCTGTTCTATCCCTTCCCCTAACCTTTGTCCAGCTTGTCTATTTAGGCTGTGAGTTAAGGGACTATCAACACATTTGTCTAGAACAAGTGGCCCTTGTCTTAGCTGGAATCTAGGCACTACCTTAAAATAGAAACAACTGACACGCATACCTTTGCATTCCATAGTACTTTTCTAACATTTTCTGGAAGCCTGAACAATTAAAATGCATTTAAACTAAACAGGACCATTACAAACAACAATTTCTGACATCACAACACTCTCCGGCCTACTTCGTGATAGCACCAGTGTTTGCCTAGATGACATTTCTACCAAAGGGAACTTACAAAACATCTTTCATAGATGAGCCTACAAACCTCACTTTATAAATCAACTGGATACAAAAAATCATGGACTCAATACAGACACTGGATTTATGATACATTACAACCTGCCTGACATCTGACTCATCTGGTACCTGCCTGACCTGACCCTTTACATTCTTCCTTTGCCCCATCTTTTCTCCCCTCCCTTCCCTTACTTTGCTGCCTTTGTCTTCCTGATTTCCAACTATTTCCCTTTTCACTGACAGCCTCTTCTTTACCTTGTATTATTACCACTGTAGTGTTTCCCTTCAGCCTTTCCCCCCCTCCCTTTCCTGCTTTACTTTTCGTTTTCTTGTTTTCCTATTTTTACCTAGTTATATTTTCACTGACTTCCTGTTATACTTTTAGCTTCTCTCCTGTTTCCCTGTTCTTCAACTATTTCCTTTTTTTACTGGAAACATTCACTTGAGTTACCAGCACACAAGGGCAAAGTCAATGAATAAGCCCCAGCCCAGACAAACAACTCGGGTTACTTCCTCTGCCATTACAAACATGGGATTTTACTCTTTCTTGAAAAAGGCAGACACAGTCATCCCAGGGCCCACCCTCCCAGGTGCAACCTGCTCAAAATTCTTGCAAGATAAACCCAAGGCACGCAGCAGTCTTCTCTAAAATTGTCTCTAGATGATGACCGCAGATAGAATAACCCGAGCCAGACTTGAAGAAAACGATCAGAAGCACAGCACAACAGCTGTACTGGTAGAGCTTGATAAATCCAAACTAGTGCTCCTGGGTCCTCTTGTTTCCTTCAGCTTAGGAAGTCCTTCTTTCCCCATGGATGGAGCAAGGACGGCTGAAGATTTTGGGGAATGAAAGTACAAAAGCTCACAGGATCCAGGCTTTTGATACTTGCATATCATCCAACACAAGGACCGTAAGTCTGCAATCTCCACTTGTATGACTGCATCACCTGCTCTGTGCACATAAGTAGACCGCCCAAAAAGAATCAAGAAAAAAAACCTACACTCTGTGAAGTCTGGCCTGTTTATAATGCATCGATAACAAGTTCCTGACCAAGGCCTCCTCACTGCAACATTCTAGCTTGCTAAAGCATATGAGTCTGCAAGCAGTAGATGGATGTTTTTATTAAAGCTCCCTTTGGTGGCATTATTTTTCAGGTGACCTCCAACAAAAAAAGCACTAAAGAATTCTTCAGATAAGTGTTCCCAATAAGTTCTCTGACAGGGATTCAAGGACAAGTTTCAACCAACCACCAGAGCTTCCAAAACTGCCAAAGGGCATCTTCTGTCATGGCCTTTTGGCTGGGATGGAGGTAGAAGAAAGGGGAGGTTTTAAAAAAAAATTTTTTTAAAAATGAACATATACTTTCTCAGGGGAGAAGGGGAGGGAGAATGTGGATGTCCTGAAAAAAAACAATCTCCCCATCCCTCCCAGAGAGGGAGGTTCAGAGGTGGGGAATGACTTCCTTGCTTGTGAGGCAGAAGGAGTACAGATAGAATCAACTATGGGAAGGGAGGAGGGGAATTGTTACTTTCTTTTATGGAAGTATTAAATTCACTCCCCAGTTCTCCTCAGTCGCTGGGTAGTGAAAGGGCTGTATGGAGATGGATTGCTTTTGAATTTGGGGGAGGGGGTTATTTTGCTGTACCTTCTTGTGTTTGTATTTTATCGTGTTTCTTTGCCTGTAAGTTGCCCTGAGCCCTTATAGTTTCATAGTTTCTAGGGTCAGAAGGGACCTAAGTAGATCATCTAGTCCAACTCCCTGCCATGGCAGGAAAGAGTACTGGGGTCAAACGGCCCCAGCAAGATGCAAGTCTAGCCTCCTCTTAAAGACCCCCAGGGTAGGAGCCAGCACCACTTCCTCTTGGAAGTTGGTTCCAGATTCTAGCCGCCCTGATGGTAAAGTAGTGCCTCCTGATATCTAGCCTAAATCTACCCTCTGCCAGCTTGTGACCGTTATTCCTGGTCACTCCTGGCAATGCTCAGGGGAACAGGGACTTCCCCAGTGCCTGCTGGTCCCCTCTGACTAGTTTGTAACAGGCCACTAGATCCCCCCTCAGCCTTCTCTTGTGGAGGCTGAACAGGTTCAGGTCCCGTAGCC